GTATGTGAACACATTTGGGACTAACAGGGTTTACTAGAATCCCACCACTCCACCACAGAGTCACTGCAGTAGACGTTAGAAGAGCGCTCTCGCTCCGCGGCACTTGTTATTATAGTGTATGTGTAGCATGAAAAATTGATGTGAACAACATATTCTAGTTTTGGTAGTAGTTGCTATACTCCTTAGTGGGAAAATAGAAGAGAAGGGGGAATAGAAGAAATCAATTAAGAAGAAGCAGTGTCAAAAGAAGAAGAAGAAAAAAAGAAAAAGGGGAAAAGCGGAAGGAGGGGGATAGAGAAGTAGTAAAGAAATGAAGAGAAGGAGGAGGAGTCTGCAGAGGAAGAAGGAAAGGGAGGGGAATAAAAAACAAGAAGAAGAAGAAGAAGAAAAAGAAGCAGCAGGGGAAGGAGGAGGAGGGGGAGGAGAAGGAGAGGAGAAGGAGAAGGTGATGATGATGATGATGATGATGATGATGATGATGATGATGATGATGATGATGATGATGATGATGATGATGATGATCGAAGAAGAAGATGAAGAAGAAGAAGAAGAAGAAGAAGAAAGGAAGAACGACAACTAGCTATATACATAGAATTCTTAAAAAGTATTATTAAACTTGTGTTTTTTCAGAAGATTGAGGAGTCTGAGGGAAATCTTTTCCAGTATGGACCAGTAAGAGGGGACTACCGTTTTCGAGAAAACCTGGCCAAGTTCTTGACAGATCACTACCAAGATACTGTGATTAGGTACGTCTCTGAGATTTCGATGCTCAATACCAGGGCTGTTAGCTTAATTCCTAATTCGATGGCCTTGTTATAAAAGCAAGTATATAACAGTAGATTTACAGTGTTTCACCGCGATGAAGTCGTGTGCGAGATGACAGGATTTAAAAAGTAGGTGCTGAAAGGGGTGACACAATTAAGTGGCTCAGGCACGAAGCAATTAATGCTAGAAGGGTGGGGGTAACACATACGTACCTGCATGTGTTTGCTGTGATGTGTGGCATCAATGATCAATACGGGCAGGTGTTAGGTAGGGAATGTAGAAAAAGAACCTGGGTTTCTGGAGTGCCACCCAGGTAACAATTTTGGGTGGGGGCCCCCGAAAATTTGAATTGAGGCAGCAATTTTGGAAAGTGTTGAGCGAGACGGACGAAAGAATCAGCATGGCAGCTCACCTCGCTTATATACCAAGAGAAATGCTAGATATTGCTTTCCATTTAGGTACCACTTGTCTTATTTTTCCTCCAGAGAAGATCTATTTGTGACTGCTGGTGCAACAATGGGGCTAGCCTACCTGACTACAAGACTTTTTCCAACTGGCTCCACCATCTTTGTAGAGAATCCTACATACTACATAGCCATATCAGTTTTACGTGACGAACTTGGCATGAATATCGTTCCAGGTACTAATCAGTCCATAATACATGACTATAGTACTATAGCTGTAGAATGTAGTACTATATATATGTAGTACATAGAATACAGTACACAGTAAGTATATAATACCAAAAATAAGTATAATACCAAAAATTTATCAGTCATATATTTTTGGTATCTATATGCTATTGTATACTGGCTTAGATCATTTCTATATATTTAACGTGTGCTACAGTCTTATTCTTTAAACAGTGTTTTCAAAAAATGGGGCCATTGATGTTGAGGCATTCGAGCATCAGCTGGAGTCAGCCGGACTTGAGAGCTACGTGCCAACACTAGCACGACCCTTCTCCAGCATGCTATACCTTGTGTCAACATTCAACAATCCCACCGGAATTTCTTGTCCACCAGGTAACCACAATCATGGATGTGTAGGGGTGAGTATGTCACACATGTGGAGATGTTGAGGGAGAAAGTGAAGGATTGAGACAGCGAGAGAGAGAGAGAGAGCGAGAGAGAGAGAGAGAGAGAG